CTCTCTGGCGTGGCCGTTGCATTTGCACCTGAGGAAAGAGCACGGAGGACGGGGGTCTGGAAACCGGGGTGGGTGCCGGCGGGGGCCGGGGGGGCGTCGATCGCCAGGAGGCCCCTGCGTGCCGGGGAGCCCAGTTCTGTGGCTCAGATACGGAGCTCCGGTGAACTACGAGCCGACGGCAACAATCCCCACCCAACGGATGGGGGAACCGAGGGACAGAGAGGTTGCCCGAGGCCGCGGGTCAGTAATGACCAAGTTCACGAGGCTGCCACTGCGGGATCCTGCCTGAGGGGTGCCCCCAGGGCCCAGGAAGAAGTCCTCTCAGCTTCCTGGGTTGGGGTGGGCCAGCTCCCAGGGCAGTGGGTGGCAGCTACTGCACGCCCTTCTCCTTTGTGTGTAAGGGACACAGGAGAGATTGCTCCTTACAGAGGACAGCCATCGCCTCATCTCAAGCCCCCAGGGAGTCTGTGCCTTGGAGGGCAGCCGTGGCCTGGGTCCCACCTCCCACCCTCATGAGCTTAGGAGGCAGGTGGAGCTGGGCAGGGATAAAGAGGTGCTCAGGGGGCCATGCCCAGCGGGGCCCGACCCTGGGGGGCCATCACCCCCATCCTGAGAGGCCCAACTGAGCCACTTAGAGGACGCCACGGCTTCCTCTGTGCCGGCCCCAGCAGGTCGCGTCTCGCTGGAGCTCCGCGGCTGTGGCAGGAGGGACCGTAGCTGCCATCGCACAGACGAGCGAAATGCGGCTCAGGCCATGCGTGACAGACGCTCGCGGGCACAGCCGGACTCCGGAGGCCTTTCTCCCCCACTCCACGCAGACCCCGCGCTCCAGGACGGTCCCCGGGGCCAGCTGCTGGCTCCTCATAAGCTGTGCCCCACGCTCCGCCCTGAGTGGGCACCGAAGAATCGCTGGCCACTGCCAGAGCCCACGGTGCTTTCTCTACTCCAGGGACGCAGGGCTCAGGAAGGGCAGAGGGCAGAGGGCAGAGGGCAGAGGGCACTGCCTCCTCGCCAGGCAGGAAATGCCCCAGCATTTCTGGCAGGGGTGAGGCAGGCACCGGGCAGTTTTAGGACAAGGGATCAGTTGTGTCCCCGAGGGGTTACTGCGAACACCTCCCCTTCCCATGAAGCCCTGTGACCCCAAAGTAAGGAGTGAAATTCCCATAGGCCATTGAGGGACACAGGCTGCGAGGCCACCTGCCCCCAGCCAGCTGCCGGCCTGAGGGTGGTCTGGCTCTGGCAGCTGGGGTCCAGATGTTCCCGGCCGCGAGACCCCCTGACAGCAGACGCTGGAGCTCACCGCCATCTGCCATCCTGGGGCGCCCCTCCCAGGTGGTTTGACCTAAGTGTGGAGGGAGGGGGAGCAGAGGGGCCCTCGTAGACACCCCGCGATTTCCCCTTCACTCCCAAGCCGCAGCCTTCCCTGGAGGGCACAGACACACTGAGCGCAGGCGTTGGGCCCATGTCACTGTCCAGACTTCTGAATGCCACCGGGCACCCTCAATCGTGGAAGCCCCTCGCGCCCTCTCCCGACAGGCCCTCACTCCCGCGTGAGCTGACTTCCGGTCCTAAATGGCTTTCCGAGCCACACGCTTCTCCCCACCCCACCACGGAACATTCCGGCTGCTTCTCTCTCCTAGCCCTCCCCATGCGGGTGTTGGGGGGGTGAGGCGTTTTAAAATCCCAACCCTGTTACTACCCTGGAGACTTTGACAGTTCCCCACCGACTGCGGGATAAAAATAAACCGGGCCCCGGGCCCTGACAGCCGCGCCCCCCACCCGCCCCCTATTCCAGCCCCAGGGTCTCCTCTTAGATCCTCCAGTCCCCGCTCTCGCACAGGGTGGCCCTTCTGGCTGGAACGCTCACCTCCTTCGGCCTTGGCGGGCCCCATCTGTGGAGCAGTCTCCCTGACCTCCGCACACCCCGCCCGAGCCCCCTGTCCTTGTCATCCTGGGCATGCCGCCATGTTTACGGGATACTGAACCGATCACTGCCTGCCACCCACCGAGACTGGGGCAGGAACACACCTGTCTGCCCCTCTCCCCTCCAAGAGGGGATCCGGTGAGCGTTTATGTCGAAGACATCCTCGTGCCTCCCCTGGTTCCTTCACCCACCTTACACACCCAGCGCCAGGCGGCCATGCGTGAGATAGGCCTGTGATGTCCACGGCCCCTGCTTCTGGGGGACGGGAGATGCTTAAACAAACTCTCCCCCGCGGGCACCAGAAGTAGTATCTTCACTCTCCCCCCAGATGGGGTGATACCCACATAGCAGCCACCTTCTGCCTCAGGAACAAGGTTGTGGGGTCCCGGTCTCTGCCCCCCACCTACCTGCCGCCCACAGAGAAGTCAGACACGGCGTAGTAGTAGGATTGCAGCACCTTGGGGTCCTTGAAGATGTCATCCCCAAACGTGTTGAGGCGGTCTAGGGAGATGAGGAGCTCGGTGCTGGTGACCCACTCCTGGGGGCAAGGGGGACACAGTGAAGGGGAAGGGACGCCATCAGCGGGTTCCTGGGTATGTGCTCGCACCCCACTCTGCTGGAAGGCCCAGCTGGCTGCCCTGGGGGTCTCCAGGGACACAGACAGGCCAAACTCCAACAAATTCCAAGAACACTGTAGCAATCAGGAGCCTGTACTTGGGGGTCACCCCAGCCTGGTGCCAGGCCACTTGCTGGCTGTGCGACTTTGGGGAAGTTGCTCAATGTTTGGCAGTTCCCACTTCCCCATCTGTGAACTGGGACAAGGAACAGTGCCGAGCCCACGAGGCTGTCTGGAGGAGGAGAGCTGACGTCGGCAGCCGGGCCTGCGGTCTGGCACATGCAGGTAAGTGGTGACCGGCTGTGCAGCTCACCTGCTTCTCTCAGTGGCTCCTGCACCCCCGTTCCAGAGGTCAGCTGGGTGAGGCTGTGTCCCTGTGCCCTTCTCCCCTGCTCGGCTGGGCCTGGAGGGGACAGGCCCTAGGCGTATAGGCTCCTCATGCGCTAAAGATCAGGCTCCCACAGTTAAGTCACCTGTCCGAGGTGATGTCTGAACCACCAGAACATACGCCCACTAGAGCGGGAGCTTGGGGCACCTCGTTCTCGCTGCATCCCCAGTCCCCGGCTCTTCCTGGCACGCGGCAGGCGCTGGACAAATACTTGCTGATTCCTGAATGAGCTGCCGAGGAGGTGGGAGAAGCCACGTGAAGGCTGACATTTTCATCTGCCTGCTGTTATAATCAGAGGTCGCTCCAGCTGAATTTTAATTAGCATTTTAATTCGGCCCAGGAGCTCCTGGTTTAGCAATCAGGCCCATCAGGACAGAAAATGAACTCCTGGCAAAGCCTGTCTTCACACCCCAGCGTGACTCAGGCCAGTGGGCCTCTGCTGCTCTCCCTGAGCTCAGCACCTTGCCAGCTCACCGCCTGGGACCCAGGGCCTCGGCCCAAGGATGCTTCAGCCGGCGAGGAGGGG